GACGCAATCGGGTTGCTTCACTAACAAGAAGGAACTACTGCTGCTATTAAGACAATTAGAGATTATACAGTCGGTACAGTTTACTATGTTACTTACAATATTTAGCGGTCCGCTTAAAAAGGCAGGAGGTTCTGGAGCACAAGCTCGCATATAAAACTCAGTTGTGTAACTCTGCAGTCATTGCCCATTTATTATTTATTGAATCCAAGTCAAGTTTAATCGTTTTGCTTTGATTTTGTCCATAGATGGGACTGCTTTCCATAAATTAGAATAGAACGTAGGATTGTTTTTTGTCCAAATTCCTGAGACCAAATCAATTGGTCGCCCTTGATTTCCTATCATATTCCAATCACACATAGTGGAATCAATGCACACCGTTTCGTTAGCTCGACATGCTCTCCATAAAGGTGCAAATTCTGTTTTTGGAGTGATTGTGCTTTGACAGAAAGGAAAATTTAAGGGAGGCGTTCCAGAACCTCTTGTCCCATTAGCTAAATCTAGATAGAGAACATTCAGAGCCCAATGAATTCCTGTTGAAACATTGGTATCCCAGTCATTTTGCACTACCACTCTCTCACACAGGGATTGTGTTTGATTCCTCTGAAAACATACAGGCATACCATCAACCTTTCCAGAATAATTAAAACGCGCAGAGAACTCTATTATGTGTCCATCTGAATATTGCCCCATAAACATTGTTTGATTGCTGCAAACCGGAATGTGCACGGGTTCATCCCAAGGAACCGGGTGGATGATAGGAGGATTGGGTACAAAGGCCCAGTATGTTTCAGCTTTACATCCGTGATGTGAGATCCACAAGGTCCTGAGGATTAGGGCCACGAGTCGTATTCTCTCGTGCATCTTTCTTTCCCAGGTCTGGGTTACAGTCAGTCTCTGCATCTTCCTCCGCAGTTTTCCCACCTTGGTTTCCGGCATGTCGGACGTCTCTCTCCGGTATCCACCGTGGTGAGGTTTCGTCTGTAGGGAAAACACAAACGTATCCTCTGCCCCACATCAGTACAGGATCAGGACCATAAGTTTTACCGTCCATTGGATCTCTCCAGTATGCCATTGGTTCATCTCTTGTTTTATTACTCCAATGTCCATCCGCAGCCGATTTTCCGTCATCATCCAGTGTCAAAAAATGTAAAACAAATAATGCATGTGATAACATAGAGGACGGAGTATCTTTAATTCCCCATGTCCCTTTTTATTTTCTTTCGTTGAGTTGTCAGTAAATGATTCCATTTTTCTGCTATGCCTTGGCCTTCTGGATGATGTGGAATTCCAGTTTCATGGTGAATTTTGTCGACAAAAGGTTGCAAAACCACTACTTCCATAAGCTGCCCGTGATCGGTTCTTAATGATTCCGGTGCTCCCATAACGCTACAACAATGCAAAAGATGGTTGCATACATGAGAGAGTTTTTCACCAGACAAGGCTGAGGCTACTGCAAAGTGAGAGAAAGTGTCAACTGTTACATGGGCATAAGAAGATTTTCCAAAGGAAGGTACATGTGTGACATCCATCTGCCACAGATCATTAGGCATTAATCCCCTGGGGTTCACTCCAAAATGAGGAACTGGTAATAAAGGGGCACAAGAAGAACCGTTCCGCATATTCGCAAGTCCAAAGCAAATATTCACCTCCACTTAACACAGCCTTCGCCAAGCTTTTCCAGTCAGAAGGGGGAAGGATATGAGCAGCTTTAAGCTCTTTCAGTTGTTTAAAAGGAATAGGCTCATAATCATTCAGAATGCCACCGTTTGCAAGTTGATGCTGTATGACAGGGAAAACTTGAGACGGAAAAAGTTGCCCAGAAAATTCATCCATTGTTTCCTCAGCTTTCCTAGCTTCTTTCAAAGCCAATTGCATAGGAGATTGTTGCATAAGCACAGCATCTGCTCCAGGCGGGGGAGGCATTCGCCCTGCTCGAAAGGCAGGCAGAACAGCAAGGGGATGTGATGGAGCTGATGGACTGTCTGTTGTGTCTGCACAGCGGCATCAGCAGCCTGTAACGCTGGGAATACAGCCGCTGAGTCCTTATGGTGAGATTCAGCAGCCTCTTTTTCTAACTCTCCCCAATCATCGGGGGGTAAAATATCCTTTGTCATGTTAGTGCCAGGAGGTTTACAAGGCGGCCAGTCCTTTGCTAATTTACAAACCAAAGGTTGCTCATATTGGGGAGGGGAGGGTGGGGGTGCCGATGGACGAAGGGATGTGATGGAGAGATTCTGATGGCGGCAAGGCAGGATATAACTTTTCTGCTGAGCGAGTGGTCCGCTGCCACTTCTCATCTCCTGTGTCTCCTCTGAGACATTCTTTTATTAGAGTCCAAAGCGTAAAGGTATCCATAGGTACCTTCTCAGGACCATGCACAGCATAACAGCCCTGGAGTCTTTCACCTACTTTGTTCCACGTTTCCATATTAATAGTTCCATCCCTGGGAAACCAGGGGCATTCTTCCTCTATAAAATCTGAAGAACGACTAATCTGACCCCGAGTCACTTTTACTCCTCAGGCAACGAATAATGATTTCAGCACTGCAGAAAAAAGGCCTCGTTCAGTACTTGCAGCTTGTCCCATTTTATCTAACAATCTGTCCAATGCCCCAGTCCTTACCTCCCTATTTCAACTCACCAACCGCGGCTCGTGGGAGGAAGCGACGCCTTTGTCACTGGAGTCCGAGATTCCCGGGTTTCGGCACCAGATGACGGAGAGCAGCTCAAGACGCCTGGGACAGACGGGCTGAGGCTCTGGTGGCGCAAGAAGCAAAGTTTATTGTTGTTACAGGGCTTTTATATCTTTTAGCTACAGGAGTGTACAATACTTCAATCAGATAGCATTCATGCAGCTGACAGCAATACGTCATTACTTAATCAGCTCTTTGTGGATGATGGTCAGTACAGAGATCCAAAGGTGTTCTCTCCACAGAACACGTTCTGCTCTTGGTCACGGAACGAAGAAGCTGTAGCTTATGCTTGCCAGTTTCACATGGCAGTCCTTCCCTTTCAGGAGGGGCCGCGTGTTCCCTGTTTGACCCTTTCAGGCCAGCCAGGTCTGTTTTGCTTCACAGTCTTCCTCACTGGGTGATCTTTTAGGTCTTTTCCAACCTTGGTGATTCTATGATTCTATGATTCTAGAGGTGGAAAGAAAGTCTGGGGGTGGACAGGGGGTTGTGGGGAATCTACGGGGGGAAAGGTGTGAGTGGGGCTTCTGTGAGCTGGAAAGAGGGTCTGGAGGTGGAGAAAGGGTGGAAGAGGGAAACTGGGGGATTGTGGTGGGCTAGAAGCCCTGTGATGTGGAAAGGGGACCTGGGGGTGGGGAGGAGATTGTGAGGGAGAAAAGAGGAGAAAGGCTTCTGTGAGTGGAAAGGAGGGTCTGGGGGTGGAGGGGTACATTGTGGAGGGGAATATTGTGGAGGGCAACTTGAGGAGTTGAAAGGGGGAAAAGGGGTTTTTGTAGGGCAGAAAGGGCAGGTCTGGGAGTGGATGGAGGATTGTGAGGGGGAAAAAAAAAGGAGTGGGGTCTCTACAGGGAGGAAAGGGGGTCTAGGAGTGGTGAGGAGGTTGTGGGGGGCTTCTATGGGGTGGGAGTCTGGGGTAGACCTCAGGGGAGTATCTGGGGGAGAAGAGGGGAGTGGGGTGCCTCTGGGGTTGAAAAAGAGTTGGAGGGGAATTTAGTGGGTTGTGGAAGGGAAAAGGGTGAACAGAGCCTCTGCAAGGCAGAAAGCGCATCTGGGGCTGGAGGGAGGAAGGGGTGGGAGGAGAGAGCCAGGGGTTGTGGGGGGCTTCTATTGGGCAGAAAAGGAGTCCGGTTGGGGGGGAATGGAGGTCAAAATGGGGGAACTGACTCCAGGGGTCAGGGAGGAGCACAGGGGACTCCAGAGGTCAGAAAAAGGGGTCAGAAGGTGGGGGGAGCAAGGAGGACACGGGACCCTGGGGGTCAAAGAGAAGGTAATGGGGGGTGATGGCAGACTCTAAGGATCAGAATGGGGGAAATGGAGCGGGGGTACCCGGGAGGAGGAGAGGGGATTCTGGGGGTCAGACAGAGGGGACTGGGAAAGTGGGGGGACTCTAGGGCACAGAATGGGGAGACTCGTGACGGGGTGGAGGGACATTAGAGATCAGAACGGGGGACAGGGGAGGGAGCGGGAGGGCGGGGGGACAGATAGGTGGAGCCTGGGGGTCAGAATGGGGGAGGCGCAGAGGGGAGGCCCGGAAGAGAACGACAGGGATCAGAACGGGGGAAACGAAGGGGGAAGAAGGGGGAGGGAGGCGCAACCCCGGGGGTCACACAGAGGGACGGGGGGGGTTGCGGGCGATCCGTGGCAGGGGGAGGGGAGGAGGGCAGTGAAACGCACGGGGTGGGGGAGGCGGGGAGACGCAGGGCAGCCGCCCCCGCCGAGCGGAACCCCGAGCACCGCAGCGACGTCACGAGGCCAACGCAGAGCGGCACGCGGCCCCTGCAGCACCTGAAGCCCGGCCCCCGCCCCGGTGCCCCCCGAACAGCCGCCTGCAGAAGCCGAGGCGGCTCTCGGAGGCCCGGCTGCTCCGCACGGCCGCCCCCTGCTCGGGTCGCGGGGCTGATGACGTCACTCAGCGGGGACGGCGCCTCGCCGCAACGACGGAGGACGGCTCGGTTCCGCCTCCGAGAACAGCTGGATTCCGACGGGGGACGGACGGGGCCGGCGGCGGTGCCTTCCCCTGACCGCCCGGCGTCCCCGAGGCACGGGGCGGCGGAGCGCCGCTTTCTCCGCGCGGAGCCCCGCGGCTCCGCCATCCCGCCGGCCCCATCGCCGTCGCGGCGGCCTCGCGTCGGCAGCCGCCGTTGGCGGGGCGCCCGCGCTCGGCCCCGCCCCCTCGCCTCTCCCATTGGTCAGTCCGCCGAACGGGGCGGGCAGTCCGGGCGGGGTCCTTTGCGCTCGGTCATCGCGTCCTCACCGCGCGGCTCCGCCCGGCTGCCCGCGGCGATGCCTGTCGTCGTGCGCCCGCTCCGCTTCCGGGGCTCCGGCTGCGGGGACGTGGGGGACCTCAGCGAGGCCGAGCCCGCGCCGCCCCGGCCCCGCTCCGCTCCGTGCGGGCCTTCCTGGAGAGCGGCGAGCGCGGGCTGGCGGCCGCCGGCAGGTGGGGGAGCGGGGCGTCCGGGCGGGCGGCGCGGCCCGGCGATGGCGCTGGGGAACTCGCTGGAGACGAGCGGCTCCGCGGGCGCCTTGACGTCGCGCTGCAGGCGGCGGTCGCGAGGCCGGCGCTGTGCGGAGCGGGACGCTTCTACGTGCGTGCTGGAACTTTCCTGCTGGAAACAGCGCAGAGCAGCGCGGCACGATGGAGAGATGCGTGTGAACTCGCAGCCTGGTGGTACCTGAACGCTTTCCGTGTCGGTCCCTGTTCCGTTTGTGCCTGCAGTGGTTGCAGTTGAGTGCTCTCGCTGTGCACGCACTGAACGCCTGCGTTCCAAAAACTAGCTGCTGTTTTTAAGGCTGTCTCCTCGCCAAATCTTACTCTTCCGTACTTGTTGGAAAGATTTCAAGTGGGGTGAAGAAAATCTCAGCTGTTTCACTTGTCAGCAGTGCAACGACTCTGAAGGGCTAACGAGTGTATTTGCTGTAGGCTGTTCCCTTCTCTGTAATGCAGCCGCATTAACTGACATTAAGGTTATTGATACGGGAGGGAGGGGAATGACCCGAGTAGCTCTCGCACACTTCTTGCATAGACAGCAGAGCTTGATGAAGCTGAATTCTGTGCTTTATGGAATGCAATCAGTTTTCCTTTTGCACAAGTGCTTGCGCTCAGAACATCGCTTTCTCTTGTGCGCTCTTACAGCTGTTTGCAATCGTTCAGTTTCTCACCTCGTGTCCTTTCCTGAAAAGAAACAAGCTTGTTTCCTAACTTGTAAGACTAAATGAAGAGATTTGCTTTTTGTTGTCAAGAAGCTGTAGCAATTCTTTTCTTTGCTCGCCAGATTCCTAAACCAAAGTCAAAACTAATAAGAGGAGATGGGGCTGGGCAAGATGTGCTGGAAATGTTGGCCTGCGACCGAAAAAGCCAGTGTGGTAATGAAACCAGTAATTACAGATGTTCCGTAGTTCTGCTTTAATCTTATGAGCAGCTCATGTCAGAGTTAAAGGCTTGTTAAAGAGCACGCTTGGCGTCTTGGAACACACCATGAAACGTTCTGCATTTTGGCTGCGTATGAATTGCAAGCAGCGGTTTGATCCTGACACGTACTGGGCTTTTTCTTTGTGTCTGCAGGACGTTAAGATAGAATTTGACTTCCAGTGTCTCCTAGTCTGCTGGTTTCTGCCTACTAATACACTATTTGTAAGCACTGCTCGTCCCAAGTGTAAAAGAAAATACTGCTCTTTTCCTGTCACTTCTGTTCCCTTCTTTGTTCCAACAGGTTTGCTGCTTTTTTTTCTTTCTTTTTTTCTTTCTTTCTTTTTCTTTTTTATTATGGTAAAGCTGAGGCAGTCATTTTCAGTCTTCACTGTCCTATGGGCTGTGGATGAAAACCAAGAAAACACCGGGCATCGGGCTGAATTGTTCCTGAATAGGTGAGACTGACAGCTACTTATTTTGAGGACAATTGCAGCGCCCTTATAATAAAAATTCACAGTAACTCTGGAGAACTGGATTTGAAAATGCCTTGGGACTGCTGTCAGCCCATATGCTAGAAGAGTGGCTTAATTACAGGGAGAGTGTAAGGAAGAAATTTGCAAATATCTGAAGGGAAATCTTGCTTCCCAGCCGGAAGCAGCAGGAACAACCCACTGCATCAAACACTGTTGTCCTTGTTTGAGTGTTCTGATGTGACACCATGTTTTTCTAGGTCATAGGCTGCTGAACTGAAGCCACGGCAAGGAAGACTTCTTGAAAGCGATTGTGGAATCTTTTGCAAACAAAAGTGGTTTATTTACATTGTTTGAAAGCCTCGTTGGGAGTGGAGCTTCTAAAGAGAGATCTTTTCTCGGCACAGAGGCTGTGGGAGATGTCAGTCCCCAGGCACCAGAGCAAGGAGAACTTGCTGAACACGATATTGGTGAGAGGTGCTGCTTACACTCCGCATACACGTGACTCTGTATCAGAGGTTCTTCTCCAAGTGCTTCATTTGCAGCAACAGACCAGTGTCTGTCACAGCTGTTCATCTTTCCCCTAATGAGAGGCTGCTTTGCAAGAAGTTCCACCTTCAGCTGCGGCGGAGAGGCAGCGTCATCGTGCCAGGTTCTGAAGAATTTCTCACATACTTCCTGCTTCCACACTGTTGTCTTCTGGTCTGTTCTGATTCATTTCCAGTTGAAGCTGCCTGTTGAGCTTTGTGTGCTTGTACGCTGGTAAGTGCTGACAGGAAGGCCCGTACTTATTTATGTGTAATCTGTGAACACAGGTTAGAGGCATGAAAGCGAAATGATTCCAGGATGAGTTGTGAACTAATGAGGTCTTCCCGTTTTTTAAGCTTAACTTGAAGGTGAAGTCTGGCTTTGAATTTGAGCGTAACAAGAGTAGAATGCTGGTGGCCTCCTACTTGGCTCTTAGTGGTCGGAAACAGGTAGACTATTCAGGGTGCAAAGCAAGGAGGCTTATGGCCCTTTCTCTTTGTATGTGTGTTATATTTGTGCATCTGTTTTATATATGAAACAGAAGTTTATGCTACTGCGGCCTCTCTGAAGAAGTTTGTTCATCATGTTTTAAATACATAACGCACAACTTACAAAACGGTTTGTGCTTCTTGCTCGTAGGCCAAAGATTTTCCTTGTTGGAGAAGTGTGATGTTATCTCCATTCTGTGCTTTGTCAAAACCACTGACAAGTGCCAATGCACTTTGGTTGCGCCCTTCTGTGAAGTAGCTGTTGCTTCTGCAGGAGTTATTTGTGCAGTGTGAACAGGTGCAGAAGTCACTTGAAGAAGGCGGCATCTTACTTGGAACTTCTTGGTAGCAGCTTGTTAGACAGAGGCGAGCAGGTGGGAGGAGGTTGGTGGGAAGTGCTTTGCTGGGAGAAACGTTCAGAGCTCGCTCCTCTTGCAGTGAAACCCAGCTCTGATCAGAGGCAGGTCTTCCTGACTCGGACGCAGACCCTGGCTTCTCACAACCCTTGTTGTTGCACAGGTGCTGTTTGGATGCACAGCTGTGGTCTCCAGCACCTCGCGTGGCTTGGCTTGCAGTGGAATTCTGTGTCAGTGTTATTCCCACTGCGCAGATCGTTACAACAACTTTTTCACTCGCCCCACGAGACATCGAGACTGGAAACAGATGCTCCTGAATCCGTTTGCCTGTTGGTCCTTGAAGTAAGCAAGCTTCCCAAGTTGTTAAATGCATTTAAATGCCGGTTTTTTGGTCCCTAATTCCTTCTGTTTGTTTGTTTTTACCAAAGCAGGATTTTTTACTCGGGATGGTGTTCACTGGCAACTTAGAACTGCAAGAGAAGTTCAGCACTCAGCGTGGCACACATCAACCTCCTTGCTTGCCGTTGCTGCTGTGCAAGCAGAACTGTACTGAGAAGCAAAGGTCCTGGTGGGATGCTGTGTGTACTCTCATGCAGAAAAAAACAACGTAGGAATGCTTCAGTTGGGAAATATTGGAAGCAACCTTCTAGAGGGCTTCTGAATTGATTGCCGTGGGCTGCATAAAACCAGTTCCTTTTGTTTGAACGTTCAAGGTTTTTTGCTGCAGGGGTGTGAGATGGTGAAGAGCTTTGTAAAAACGGGCTTTACGTTTCTGATATTGCATTTGTAAAGAAGTACTGGCTTAGGACTAAAGCTGCTTGTTGTGTTCATCAAACAAATGACGTGTGAGCAGATGGAAAAGAGGGAATGCTAACTGAGGAATGTTTCTGGTGACATTCAGGCCAGACTCGGCAGCCAAGCTGAAGCTTCTTGTACAGCATGGATGGAGTACTGTGTGAGCCCTGGAGAGACACGGCCTTCACCTGCCTTAATTATACACTGGGCAAGAAGCCTGCAAGCAACAGTAAGTTAAGATTGTCTGTAAATAAGTACCGTCTGTTTTTCTCTGATTTGCAAACGTAACAGGCTAAATAAAATCAGATGAGAATGTAGTACTGAGAAGTGCTGCTGATTTTGGTGGCATGACTGGAGCAACCACCTTGCCTGACAAGTACTCTCTACCTCACTGCTCTGAACAGCACAGGTAAAAGCAACGTTGTTTTCTCCCCGTGTTACCTTCTGTGACTATAGAGAGACCTTCTGAAATACGTCCCAAGTGTCAGAGAAAAGCTCTTGAAACTTCTCGAGAAAACAACTGCATCAGAGAAGAAAAAGTAAGAATGACACGTTATTGGAATTTTCTGTGGCAGTCTGAATTTCTCTTCTTCAACAGGGCGTTAGCCTGAACTCGTGCGACCAGAAAGAATCTATGGGAAGAAGCGTCTGCTACTGGAAGGAAATTCTGCTTAGCTTGAAAACTATCAAAAAGCACAGAAGTATTCCTGAACCTGCTGATGCTCTCTTCAAGCATTTCCACAGTGTGGACATCCAGGTACTGACGGATATTCAAAGAGGAGAGTAAGAGGGGTTGTACGTCGCGGGCTTGCATGCCAATGGTTGGTTGGTGTTTTGTTTTGGTTGGCTTTGTGTGTTGATGGGTGGTGGTTGTCTTATTTTTTTGTCGCTGTGCTGCTAATGCTGAGGTTTGGTAGGATCTTTCTGTTGAACTCCTCGGAGTTTTAAAACTCTCTGGTTGGAGGACACTGAACTGCCTTAGCACCAGCTTTCTGAAAAGCTGCTTTCCTGTCATGCAGGGAAAGCAGGCATAGTCTGAACCTCCTCCTATCTGCCTACTTACTAGATGCTTACAGTCTTACACCGACTGTTCCAGGTGTCCACACTGTGTTGTGTGTGACTTGTCTGTGGCTTTGGTTGTAGGTCCTCCAGGTTGCAGCCTGTGAAGAAGAGGCACGTGTGGCTTTTGCAACGCTGGGTGCAGCTGAAGGCAAAACTGATGATGCTTTATTAGCCTTTGAAGCTGTTAACACTGCGGTTTCGCACTGGAACCTATGCACTGTAAGTCTGTAAATTGCATTACCTCAGAATGCTTTTCTGTCACTTGCGTTCTGACCAGTTCTTCCTGATCGATGTGCTGTTACTTAGCTTGGTCAAAGAAAGGCAGAGGAGGTTGAGAGTGATGGTGTGCTACCAGAGGAACAAGAAGAACGCAGAGCCTGTCTTGTTGAAAGGCAGCACTGCCTGATGAAGATCACTGAGGAAAGCTCCTCTGACCCGTCAGTAGCTGCCCAAGTCAGTACAAGAATCAATGCTTGTGTGAATGGTCCTCTTAGTTAATGTTAACAGGTGTGGGGCTTTCCTGGGGGAAAACAACAGCAAAAACACCCCGAGTTTCTGCAGAAAGCCGTGTGCGCTGTGCCGCCGTCGATCAGGACGCAGTCTCTTGCTCTGAGGAAGAATTGCCATCACGACTTGCGTTTCCAATCCATTTCTAGCTGCCGGTATCTGTTAGAGCTGTGACGGAAATGCTGGAGGCAGTGATCCGGGAGCCTGGGGAGAACGGTGAGGAGGGAAGTCTTGCCTCCAGAAACATCTCACGAGCTGCGCACGTGGAAGTGAAAGATGCAGTTCCATCACCCAAGAAGTTCTCTTTCTCACCAACTAACACCTACCAGCTCTATTAGCCGGTTACTCTTTTAGGGAAGTGTTCCTTTTGTGTAAGAAAATCCAAGTTCAGTAAGCTTTTCTTATTTTCTTTGCTCAGACTCTCCTGCAGTGGGCAGAAGATCACAAGTCCTTACTTCAAAAGCTGTGTCAGCAAGTGGAAGCTTTAAAGGTAAACAGCTTTTGTCACTATACTGGATGCAGAAGAGTTGATCTTTTTGTTCTGGTAAGTACTTTGTCACCCAAGCACTGAACTAAGCTTCACTTGCCAGGCTACCTCTTAACTCAGTGAAGAGAACTGCTATAAACATCCGCTTAAATTCAGGGCAAGAGTGAAACTTTGCCTACAAACTCTAATTTGGTACTCAGATATAGGAAGTAATGCTGAGGATTGTGTGTGCAGAAAGTTGTGCTTTCTTCAGCTTAGCTGTTGTCATCTTGGTTCTGGGTTTATTTCTAGCTTCAGGGCACAGTCTCGGTTTTGTAAAGCATGGGCAGATCGTGGATTATTGCAGCAGTTAACTCTTCTTTTTTCTTTTGTCTCAGATCTTGAACGTGCTTTTAAATAGCAAAGGAGCGTAGGGATCATTCCTTGGGTTTTCCCCACATACCTGTGTTTCATACGTTTCCATTCTCTTAATTGAAACCCTGTCTTTAACAGAATGAAACAGGGGAAATGAAACGTAACAGTTGCAGTGTAAGCGTGCCATCTCATCGCTGGCCTGCTGAAAGCTGTGGAGCAGATACTGTGTCAGATGGTTATGGGAGAGCACAACACCTTCGTGAAGCTCCTTGGAAGGGTAAGTCGATGCTGGATTTTTAATTGACCGCTTAGCTAAACAGTGAGACTTCTTAAAACCTTTCTGCAGTGTTCTGAGATGAATGAGTAAAACTGGTCCCTGGGGAAAGTTCATTCAAGTCAGAAATGAAAGCTGGATGCAAACCCTTTTCTTGGTGTTCAGTTGCTACCTCTGGCCCGTCTGTTTGCAGTAGCCAGTCACCTGCTGTGACTCGCAGTGTCTTGGAAGAACTGCTGCAACCAATGTACCACCAACAGAGGTGAGGACAAACAAATCTGCTCAAGCCATTTCTACTGATTTGTTGGAAACAGCTGGTTGTGATTCTGTGTGCAGCTGGGTATCACTGCGGTTCCCTAGAGAGCATTTACTACACTTGAGGTCTGCTGGAGACAGGCAGAAAGTTCCATTATCAGCTGATCTTTGGGACGTGGGGTTTGGGAGAAGCAGCCAGCAAAAGATGTTTTTAACGTGCTGGCAATGTCCTCTGCTCGTTGTCTGCGATGTTCTTTTCCCCAAAGTAGTGTGGGGACTTGCTGGTTTTGACTGTTTTGGTACTAAAGGAAATGAGTCAGTTCACTTACGCTTCTCTCCAGTCTGTGTGTTCAGGTACCATCCAAGTTTTGAACGTATGATTTCAGTTTAAACTGATGAGAGTTGAAATCTAATTTTAAGGTGCACCTTGCTATGAAGAGTGCACGTTGCATGGGCTTCAGCCCCCTGGTCCCTTTTTCTCCTTTTGCACGAGGAAGTAACGGTGTGTTTTTCTGTAGGCGCCTGTCTGTGGCACGAACGGAGCTGCACCTCAGCACGTCGACGTGCTCAGCAACAAGCGATCCACGCGCCGCCTCTGCACAGCACTTGTGCTGCTGTGCTTCCTCAAGGCACCTGTGGTGCACCTGTGTGTTTTGATGCTCCGTCTGCTGGAATCCTTTCTCCTCGTGGAGGTGATGATCGCTACAACTACGGCCTGCCCCAGGCGAGCGCAAATCCACCTCTGCCTGAAGCAGGCTGTTTTACAAGACCTGCGTTTGCACCCACAGGTTTAAAACCTGCAGAGTCCTGTGTCAGTGCCGCACAGGACAAATTAGGATCCGCCTTTGCGACAAAGGAAGGGCAGTGGGACTGTAACATCTCTGCAGTGAGAAATGAACCCGCTGCCCCAAAATGTGCTGCCCTGCAGAACGCAAACAAAACTCGTTCAGCAGTATCTCTTCAAGAACTGTCCTTTCAACTCGATGGGAAAACCCCAGCGTGTACCTCTCAGAATCTGGCAGATGCTGAAGCGGAGCCTGCAGAGGGAAGATGTAACTTCTCAGTGTGGATGCCTCCAGGTGGATTTAAATTTGGCATAGAGGAGTGCAATACAAATTGCGCTAAGGAAGACGATCCGCCCAAGGAGCGTACAGCAGGCTTGACAAACATGGATGGAAAAGACAAAAATGAACTGCCCTCAGGTGGTGGAGTTACACTCCAATCTCAAGAAACAGCAAACAGGGACAAGAGTGAGCCCAGCTGTGAGAAAGGCACGTGGATAACAGCTCATGTTTCTGGTACGAACGCAGCCAAAGCGTCTCCTTGTGGTGCCAACTCTGTAGCTGTGCTGGAGGAAGCTACCAGGGAACACAGCGACCTCAGCCATGGTGGTGATGGTTCTGATGCCGCTGTAGAGGCCTCAGAGGCTTTAAGCACCTGTGAAACGCCAAGAAAAACCGTGGTGTCTGCTCCAAAGTTTGTATTGAGGTCTGAATGTGTCAAGAGCGTTTTCAGTAACGAAAAGACATTCCCATCTGGCAAGACCTCGGCCATCGGTTCCCTCTTTGGATTCGGCTTTAATCCTCCAGGAAGGAGCGCTGATGGAATTTGAACATCTCAGAAAGCAGAGCAGGAAAAACCGGGAGTGGCTGAAGCAGCCAAAAGCTGCAGTGCAGCTCAGGAACCTTGGGAGAGCGAGGCATCCAAGCTGGCTCCTCCAGCACAAGATGGGCCCTCCGACTTCTCGTTTAAAGTTCTGGAAGAAGGTGAGCGTTAACTGAGCTAGTAATTTATTCAGCTGTGCTGCTCATTAGTCAGTCATTCATTAGTGCTGGTCATTGAGTTCTTCTGTCTTAATAGGACGTCGATTCTTTCAGTGCCAGTGCAGGTCTGTGATCTCCAAATCCTAGACTTTCAACTTGAGTGATGCTGAGCTGTAGCTGTTTGCACGTGAGAGCAGAAACGTGCCTTATGCAGGATTCAGCGTTGGTCTGCAGTGAGACAGGGAGCTGCGGGTAGGATTTTGGAATGTGTGCGAGGCGCTGTTTAAGATGTCAGGGTGAAGTGCTGAGTGCCTTTTTGAGCTGAACTGGCAGTGGATGTGCGCAGGCCTCGCTCTGACTGGCCACTACGAGAGCAGCACGTGTGCTTCAGCTTCAACTCGAGTCATCCCTTCAACTCGGAGGCATCCTGCTGCTCTGCCTCCATTCCTTTCCGGTAGCTTTACATCTTTATGCCTTGGATTGCCCTGGTTTTTCTTGTGCTTCCCAGAAGAGATGTGAAATAAGTTCTGTTCAGTCGCTGTGTCAGATCTTCTGGAATTTCACATGCTCAGAGCTCATCGGTAGTACAGCTGCTGCAGACAGCTTTCCGTTTCTGACTGGCTTTTGCAGTCCTTGGTTTTGCTTTTCCTCTGCAGATGATTCCCGTGTGGCTCTTCCTTGTAGCTGTGTTTTGTTTGGTGTAAGGCCATCACTAATTCTTGTAACGGTATGAAAATGCTGACCTGTTCCTGGTCTGAGACTTGAATTTCAAAGGGAAGGGGAAAGTATAGTGCTGCTGGAACCAACAGACTCTAACAGTACTTCAACTGAGAAAACCTGTCATCTTCCATTTGGCCAGTCACCCTTTCTGAGGCTGTGAGTGTCTGTATAGTAATAAAAGGTGGCACATATTGGGCTACCAGAAATATAAGTAAATGTCAAAGGAAGCTGGTGTCTGTAGTGGCAGTGGCAAGTTTGAAATCTTCATTATTGCGCGGAGGTTCTTGGATAGCAGCAGAAAACCAAAGCATGGCAGATTTACAGTTCCTTAGTTATCCTGAATGAGTGTCTTTTTATCTAAGGATGCCTTTTCAAAAGCTCTGAATGCAAGATGTTCTGAGTATCGTTAGGTTGCTTCATAATGTACGTGCCAGAAATGATCTCAGTATTTAGCTGTCTTATCAGCTGTTTTCCACTGATGTTTGTTCTTGGCAGCAGGCCCCCCAGTCAAACCTGAGCTGCAGAGGGAATGTGTTACTGCTTCTCAGGTGTCTCAGGGAGAGAAAGGAAACAGCTTTGCCTCCTGAAGTAGAAACGGCTTTGGCTGGTAGAATTCCTCCTAGCAGGTATGTAAGAGTGGAGGGATTTCAGAGCAGTTTCCAAGGGAAATGGTGCTCGTTTTGGAATCGCACTGCTCCAAAGGCACTTCAGTCTCTTGTCGAGTCCAGCTTGAGTGTGTCTTAAGAGTAATGAAGAGTTCTTGTTTGTTTCTTTCCCCAGTTGTTCGCTTCCCTTAATCCCTGTTACTTAGCTGCTCTGAAGCAGTAGGAGCTGTAGGAGCTGTAGGAAAGTTGGAGACTGAGAACTTTCAGTCATGATTTCTCTGTACTGCAGTTGTAATTAGAAATGGAGAAATTTATCAGTTGCTGGGAGGGAGGGAGGGAGAGAGGGAGGGAGAGGAGGGGGGAAATGCGGCTTTATTGGAGGGAGCGGTTATTCTTAGTGTCCAGCCTTAATGTAGTTTGAAAGTTAGGCTCTCATGGCTTATTTGCTTCCTGTTTTATTAATCGTGCTGACTTATTCTTCCTTCCTTGTACAGATTTACATACTGAGCAACCAGTGAACAGCAGCGGAATTTGTGCAGTCAGCTGCGAGCAGCGAAGAAGCAGAATGCACAGAAACTGCTCACGTATCTCAGGATTTACCAGGAGGTGGTGATGCAGCTTTTTAGGAAGGAGAAGAACTGCAAGCTCAAGTAGAGATGAGTTTAACTGGAAGTAGCCTTGCGTAGCTTTGTAAGGCTTAACACAGTTGTTCGTGTCTGGATTTCGTGTTTGACCCTAGCGTGCCTAATAGGATGAGAAGCTTGCAATGACTGTAATCTTCTAGTTTGGCCTCCTGTAAAGAACAGACCTTAATTGCAGGTTAGTGTAATGATTCAGAGCACCAATAAACAGTAGGTGGTGTCCTTTAATTGGAACAGCTGATCTGGTGAAGTCTGCAGAATGTCGTCTTCCTCTTTCTTCAATATCTGTCTGCCTTTCCTCATCTCTTCATCACAGTATGACTTCTGTGGGGTTCTTCTCGCCTTACCTGCTCTTTTTCTCCTTCGGTGTCACTTCTCCCACCAGAAATGCTTGTCTGTCACGCGTTTCTGCAGTTCTTCCAAGTTTTTCTGTAGCTTTGGAAGATGTGTCAATTGAAGAATGTTAAAAGCCAGTAATGCGCACGTAGAAAGCGTGGAGGACATGCAGCTGTGAGGCCTCCGTTTATTATTTTCAGTTGATTCTTGTTCTGTCAGATGCCAGCATGAAGTTATTTCACGGTCTTTAAGAGGAGAGCACCTGGGATGCTAACAGTGCTGCGTTATCACTTAGCACATCATTCAGCAGGCCTGAAATTTCGCTGGGGAATTGTGGCCAGCACACTGGATAGCTTAAGAATCAAACAACTTGCTATGCAGCGTGGTGCAGGCAGTGTTGCATTGCTAAAATGAATTTCAAACGCTGGAACTTGTTGGGCTCTTCCATTTGGAGAAGGCAGGGCTTTTCATTCACTTCAGTGCATGATGAGCGTCGAGCTGAGGGTACAAAGCCACTGGAGAAGAATGTGAAGGAATTGTCTTCAAAGAGAGGGCAGAACTTTACAGCTGGGCCAGAGATGCCGCTCAGCGGAAGGAGCTCTTGGAGAGCTGAAGCTCCTCTTCCGGACACAGCAGAAGTATTCCAGGAGCCTCGTGAGAAGGGGCCGAGTTGCTGAGGTGTGTGCAAAGCATGTCATCGCCACAGAAATGAACTCATTGCCCTCTGAGACATCAAACTGCTTGAATTTGGACAGCTACAGGTGATGCTGGTGAGTCGGTTGGGTGGTTTTTACAGTTCTTTCCGGTCTCTCCTGCAGTCGGTTTGGCTTTGTTTTACCCTGGAGATCCTACAGAACAAAAGCTGCTGATCTCTGGCTGCAGTGAGTAGAGCTAAGGAAATCTCTTCTTGGGTTTGTTTTCAGACGGTGAAGTGGAAGTAGAGCGAGTTGCGGTCAGATTAGAAGTTCAAGACCTGGCTGATTCTTTCGAGAGCAGATTGAAGAATGCCAGCAGAGCTTGTCAGAGCTGCAGAAGGGCCAGCTCTCTGTGGCAGCGGAGCTGTCAAAGGACACCGGCCCTGTTGTTGTGTATTTGGACGTTTCTGCCAGCGATGAACCTTCAGGACACACAGCCACGGAGCTGCTTTCACACATTGTCCCTCGGACGGCTGAAAAGCTCAGGGCCCTGTGCACAGGGGAGAAAGGCTCGTGGATTCAGGAGTACCACGTTTCACAGGATAGTTAGTGACTTCCTATGTCAGGTAAGCTTAACGTGAAGGCTTTTCACGGAGAGAAAAAGCCCACCTGGGCTGCAGCACCGCATGGATCCTGCCTGAAAGTGGGCTTTTCCAGTTTTTGACTGTAGTGAGAGTAGCCAAAATCAGCAGGGCTGCTGTCAGCAGCGACGCCTCAAGCTTTCCCGACACTTCTAGAGAGGATCACGTTTGATTCTTGGGGAGCTGTGACTTCATGGGAACGCCACAGCCTGCGTGTGAGACTTCATTTTGTTCGTGCTGTTATCTGCCTGATGGCTCCTCTTTGACAGCTGTTTGATTTGTGGGCTCTTAGAGCCAGCTTTCAGCCTTTGGCAGCAGCAGGAAGCGGAGCTCCCGACGTGTTGTAGGCAGCGTTTGCTCTGCTCAGGGGCCTTGGCTGCAGCGTGTGTGCAGAGAACAGCGTGCGTGTTTGGCATGGCTGTGCAGCAGAGAACAGAAATGGTAGTTTTGTCATTTTTCAGTGCCTCCCAGGACAGCACTCTGTGGTAGATCAGAAATTGGTGTGCGTGTTGGATTTGCTGTTTAGCAGGTGCATTCTCCTGCTGCATCTCTGTGCATCTCTGTATCCTACTGTACTTTGACTGCAGGAGTTTTCTCGCAGTAGGGTCAAGGCCACCCAAACTCAGGTCTGTTGTGCTTTCAGTATGGAGCCCTTTCAAGGCTTGATTAAGACCTGGCAGAGTAGAAGCCAACGCTGTGTGAACGACAATTCAAGAGTGTCCTTTTCTGGAACTGCGCTCACAAATGGTCAGAATTCACTGTAGGATGCTTGTGATTGTTTTGTACTATTAAGTTCTGTCCATGAGAGCTTGTTCTCCCTATTCTGTCAAAAATACTGTTAGGAATTCTTGATGGTACTGTGCTCTCAAGTATGCAAACCTTTTTTTCGTATTAGAGGCACAATTTTTATATCAATGCATCGTAGCAAGCCAGATTTCCTTTCCTCCTTATGGAAAACCAGATGCTTTCAAACATCTTTCCAGTGTCATGAATAAAGGCTCCGTTCTTAAAACCTGTATCCCCTCCGTTGTGTGAAGGCTTGAGCGGGGTGGAAAAGCAGCCAGGCAGCCTGCCTTCTTTTGTAACACTGTTGGGATTTTGGGCTGTGCCATGGGTTCAGTTGCTCGTAGTCAACAGCGATTCCTTGGAACTGTCATTCAGTTCCAGTGTGTTTGTTTTGTCTCGATTAGTTTTGCTTTTCCACGTGCCGCTGCCCACAGGCACAGCCCTGCTGCTCAGAGAGCTGGGAACAATCCCTAACTTGAGGCTGCGCAGCTCTGCCTCGCGAGGTTCCGTCCACCCCTCGCTGGCAGGGTGCAGCCATCAGCCTCCCTGGGCTCTGTGGCAGTCCTGGGCCCTTCACACATCCTGTTTGTTCAAGTTCTTGGTAGCGTACGCCGTGCTGTGCTGTGTCTGATGCTCAGCTGTGAACGATCCTGATCATCTGCTGCAAATGCACTCCTGCGCTGCTGCTGGTGGCTGATCTGAGTGAGCTGGCCAGGCAGTGGCCAACCAGTTCAGGCCCACATTTGCTGTCACGGTGTGTGGTATCGCGCTCTTCTTCCCGTTTCCCAGCAGATCACAGGGCCTTGCAGCAACAGGGTGTTGAGATCCGCGCTCTCTCGCCCGGTGTGGCTCCCTCCTGCACCGGGCACGAGGTCCAGTGGGAACAGCACAAGCATTTTTATCTGCTTGCTTGGGCTTTTTAGAAACCCCGATGGCAGAGGGCTTGCTCAGCTCAAAGCCAGAAAGAACTGGACTTGCTCTACTGAAACAGTGAAGAAGAGAGGCTGGAAAGGTCAAACGCCAGAAGGAATGAGGATTGCTGGGCCCAAAGCCGGAAGGAAAGGTCCTTGCTGGGCTGGAATGAATAGAGAAGGGTTTTGCTGCTCCTAAGCCCAGAAGGAAGAGGGCTTGTAAGACCATACCCAGAAGAAAGGGGGAGTGCTGGGCAACAAACCAGAAGGAAGGGGCTTGCTGGACTCAAACCCAGAAGGAAGGGGCTTGCTGGTCCATACCCAGAAAGAAGTGGGTGTGCTGCGCCACAAAGCAACAAGAAGGTGCTTGCTGGGTCCTGAACTAGAAGAAAGGGGGCTTGCTGGGCCACAAATGGAGAAGAAGGGGGCTTGCTGGACTTGGTTAGGGTTAGAGTTAGTTTTAGGTTTGGGGCAGTGAAAGCTTAGGTTAGGGTTAGTGTTAGAGTTTGGTGTTAGTGTTGAGTTTTAGGGTTATGCTTGGGGTTAGGGTTTGGGCCAGGGTAGGGTTAGGGTTCGGTTAAGTTTGAGGGTAAGGGTTAGGGTTAGGTTCAGTGCTAGGTTTACATTTAGGGTTAGGATACAGCTGGGGTTAGGATTAAGGTTAGGATTAGGGTTAGTGTTTGTTTTGGGTTAGGGACTGGGTCAGGGTTAGGGTTGATGTTCAGGTTGGGTTAATATTAGTGTGAGGGTTAGTATTTGCAGAAAGGTTTAGAGCAAGGTTTCAGGTTTGCATTAGAGTTAGGGTTGGGGTTAGAGTTTGGGGTTAATTTTGGGTAGTGTTAGGGTTAGGGATTGGGTTTGGTTGAGGGTTAAACTTATGGTAAGATTTAGGGTTGAGCTTAGGGTTAGGGTTTGGAATTAGGTTTAGGATTAATGTTGTGGCTAGGCTTAGAGTAAGGTTTAGAGTCAGGGTTATGTTTAGGGCAGGGTTTGGGTTAAAGTTAGGGTTGTGGGCTAGGGTGTAGTATCCTCTGTACAGATTCCATTGTGATACACGACTGAACCATTTGCCATTTCACATTTAATCCTTAGGGGCACCGAGTCAATGGGGGTTTCACGTGTTCTCATGTTCAATACAGAACCAGCAGTGGCAGCAACGATGTCGAGACAACGACTTTCACAGGCATGAGAAGTAATGGAGATGTGCACAGTTCTTCCAGCCGCTGTGCAAAGAGCGAATCCAAACCAGCGCTCTTCTTTACAAGTCCCTTCATGCTGTGAGGTTTCTGCCAACGGTGGGTGTGCTTACAACAGAGACATGAGGTGAGCTCTGGGTTTTACTGACTCTTTCTGTGATGATTCTACGATTACTTTTGACCTTTTCATTTTCCTTTAGTTTTCTTTCATTGTTATTTTGTTCCAGGCGTGTACCTGGACAGAGCCCAGCAGTTCCATGATACCATTGTGTCCGTGATGCTTTCCTAGTGAAGGGAGTTTCACCTGGGTGATACCTCCTTGTACAGCCAAATGCACTGAAACAAAACGAACCTTGCTGTTATTCCTTTCATGTGGTCATTTAAGTGGCCATTTTAATACAATGTATTTTAATCAGAGAGATGCCAGTCAGTCAGAGATCCCCCACGACATCCTTATAGCAAAGCTGAGGAAGTGTGGGATGGATGAGTGGACAGTGAGGTGGGTTGAGAACTGGCTGACTGGCAGAGCACAGAGGGTCGTTGTTGGTGGTGCAGAGTCCGGTTGGAGGCCTGTAAGCAGCGCTGTTCCTCAGGGGTCTGTGCTGGGTCCGGTCTTGTTCAACATCTTCATCAATGACCTTGATGAGGGGATAATGGCCACCCTCAGCAAGTTTGTGATGATACGAAGTTGGGAGGATTGGCTGACAGCCTGAAGGCTGTGTTGCCATTCAGCAAGACCTGGACAGGCTGAGAGCTGGGCAGAAAAAAAAGGGATGAGGTTTAACAAAAGCAAGTGTAGAGTCTTGCATCTGGGGAGGAATAATTGCATGCACCAGTACAGGTTGGGGGATGAGCTGCTGGAGGGGAGCTCTGCGGAGAGGGACCTGGGTGTCCTGGTGGATGACAGGTTGCCATGAGCCAGCAGTGTGCCCTTGTGGCCAAAAAGGCCAATGGCATCCTGGGGTGCATTAAAAAGAGCGTGGCCAGCAGGTCGAGGGAGGTGATCCTCCCCCTCTGCTCTGCCCTGGTAAGGCCTCATCTGGAGCACTGCGTCCAGTTCTGGGCTCCCCAGCACAAAACAGACAGGGATCTCTTGGAAAGAGTCCAGCGGAGGGCCACCAAGATGGTGAAGGGCCTGGAGCATCTCTGCTATGAGGAAAGGCTGAGAGAACTGGGTCTGTTCAGCCTGGAGAAAAGGAGACTGAGAGGGGACCTGATCCAGGTCTATCAGTATCTGAGGTGTGGGGGGCAGAATGGCGAGGCCGGACTGTTTTCAGTGGTGAGTGGAGACAGGACGAGGGGAAACGGCTGGAAACTGCAGCATAGGAAGTTGTGCACAAACATGCACAAGAACTTCTTTACAGTGAGGTGAGGAGCACTGGAACAGGCTGCAGGGAGGTGGGGGAGTCTCCTTCTCTGGAGATGTTCCAGACCTGCCTGGATGCCGACCTGTGCGACCTGCTGTAGGAACTGCTTTGGCAGGGGGTTGGACTCGATGAGCTCTGAGGTCCCTTCCAACCCCTACAATTCTGTGATTCTGTGAGATGAAGGAGAACAGAGGTGACAGTAATTGTTTCAATCTGGTGCTACAGCTGTAGCCAAGATCTTTATTGCACATAAGGATACAGCACTTCCTCTTCTATCAAGTGCAATAAGCAGCGCATTTCAACTGGTTCTAGAACATCACTGTCCTCTAAAGCTGGTGGCTTTTCAGCTGTCCCTTGAAAGGCTGCTCAGCTGCAGTGCCAAGCATTTCTTTTCTGGTGTCGTTAGCTATAAACGTTCTACTTCTGCCGTTACAGATCGTGGACAGGTAGATCACAGCTGTGTGGTGTTCATGGGTACAGCTGAGAAAGCATTGATGCTGCTTCCCTCGAGATGTCAGTCTCAGCAGATGGCACTGCAGTTAAACTTCTGCCACCAGAGAAACTTTTGCCTTTGTACTTTAACAAGCTCTGGAAACAAGGCGGTGTCACCTGGGAAGAGTACAGGAACGCCGTCCGGACTTGCAGACGTGGGATCAGGGAAGCCAAGGCACAGGCAGAACTGAACTTGGCAAGGGACGTGAAAAACAATAAGAAAACCTTCTACAGGTACATTGGCCAGAAGAGACAGGCCAAAACGGGCGTACCTACTTTGGTAAATTTAAAAGGAGAACTGGCTTCAACAGATGAAGAGAAAGCTGAGGTGCTGAATGAGTTCTTCACCTCGGTCTTCACTGGTGGCCAGGATTCCAGTCTTCTTCACGTCCATGAACCCTGCATCCCCAAACCTCTATGTGGGGACCAAGGAGGTAAATCCCTCCCCACTGTAAGGGCAGAGCAAGTCCGACAGTGCCTCCTTAGACTGAATGAATACAAGTCTATGGGGCCGGATGGCTGCATCCCAGGGTCCTGAAGGAGCTGGCTGAGGTGGTTGCCGAGCCGCTCTCCATCATATTTGAGAAGTCGTGGCTGTCAGGTGAGGTCCCGGATGACTGGAGGAAGGGTCACGTCACTCCCATATACAAGAAGGGGAGCAGGGAGGACCCGGGGAACTACAGGCCGGTGAGTCTCACCTCCGTGCCTGGGAAGATGATGGAACAGATCCTCCTGGACAACATGCTGGATCACATAAAGAATGAGCTGTGATCCGAGACAGCCAGCACGGCTTCACCAAGGGAAGGTCATGCCTGACTCATCTTGTGGCCTCCTATGATGGAGTGACGGCATTGGTGGATGAAGGGAAGGCGACCGATGTCATTTACCTGGACCTGAGCAAGGCCTTTGACATGGTCCCCCACCACATCCTCATCTCCAAATTGGAGGGAAGTGGATTTGATGGGTGGACGACCCGATGGATGAGCGATTGGTTGAAAGGGCGCAGACAGAGGGTGGTGGTCAATGGCTCTGTGTCCAGGTGGAGGCCGGTAACAAGTGGTGTCCCCCAAGGGTCTGTCTTGGGACCGGTGCTCTTTAACATCTTTATTAATGACATCGATGAAGGAATTGAGTGCACCCTCAGCAAGTTTGCTGACGACACCAAGCTGAGTGGTGCGGTTGATACGGTGGAAGGAAGGGATGCCATTCAGAGGGACCTCGACAGGCTGGAGGGCTGGGCTCGGGTGAACCTGATGAGGTTCAATGAGGTTTGCATTGGGGCCGGAAGAACCCCAGGCACCCGTACAGGCTGGGAGGAGTGGGCCTTGAGAGCAGCTCGGCAGAGAAGGACCTGGGGGTCCTGATGGACGAGAGACTGAACATGAGCCAGCAGTGCGCTCTGGCAGCTCGAAAGGCAAATGGGATCCCGGGCTCCATCAGGAGAGGGGTGGTCAGCAGGGACAGGGAGGTGATCGTCCCTCTCTACTCGGCTCTTGTGAGGCCCCATCTGGAGTCCTGTGTCCAGGTGTGGAGCCCTCAGGACAAGAAAGACAGAGAGATCTTGGAAAGGGTCCAGAGGAGGGCGACTGAGATGAGCAGGGGGCTGGAGCACCTCCCCTATGAGGACAGGCTGAGGGAGTTGGGCTCGTTCAGCCTGGAGAAGAGAAGCTGCGGGGTGACCTCATGGCAGCCTATCAATACCTGAAGGGAACCTACAGCCAGGAGGGGAGTCAACTCTTCAGAAGGGCTGACAACAGCAGGACGAGGGGAAACGGATCCAAGTTGAGGGAGGGAAGATTGAGGTTGGATGTTAGGGGGAAGTTCTTCCCAAGGAGAGCGGTTAGGGCCTGGAACGGGCTGCCCAGGGAGGTTGTGGATGCCCCGTCCTTGGCCGTGTTCAAGGCCAGGTTGGACGGGGTCCTGGGCAACCTGATGTGACTGTGTGTGTTTGGTGGCCCTGCTGGGCAGGGGGTTGGAACTGCGTGATCCTTGAGGTCCCTTCCAACCCAGGTGATTCTGTGATTCTGTGTGGGAAACCCACGGTCCTCACAGGGTGGATGCGGAAAAGAAATGGAGCTGAGATGCATCTGTGTGCTGTGAGTGCTATTGCTGAGGACAGGGAGGAGCCCCAGCTGATCAAAGGGCTTTGGTAAGAACAGTGGTGAAAGCAGGAGTGGAGATGGAAGGCTTGGATTGCTCTCGGAGGAACGGTGGAAGGGTCAAATGTTCTGCAGGTTCAGCACGCGCTGCGCCCTGCCTGCGCCCTGCCTGGTTTTTTGTCCTTTCCTTTTTAGGGTAGGAAAACAAATTTCTGGGGCAGGAGAAGAAGAAATGCAGCAGTCTTCTGTGCACGGCTCATTTTGCGTGAGTTGCCAGGTGCTGCTGTGGTAATGGGTGCTGATGAGGCAGCCTTCATGGCAGGGCTGTGGCTTTATTTTATGTCAGAATTTGAGGCCTACGATTTTCCCACTGTGAGTGCCTGTTTTAAATGATAACAAGTGATCTGAAGATTAGCTTCCCTCCTTGTATCAGAATCACGTATTGACTTTTGATATTTGTCTTTCTATTCCTTTAGCAACTGGGGTGTGGATGCTGCTGCACGTATCTCCCATTTTGCCCTTCTGCTTTGTGTAACAGAATAGCAAAACATGCCATCTCTGTGTGCAATTTCTGAAGTAAGTAAAGTGAAATACTTCCAAGTCAGTAAAATACTTCAAGGTTCCCTAAACTTTGGGTCTGGGAGGTGACCACTCCTTTGTCTATGATGCAAGCACAGCGGTGATGCAGGCACTCGCTGAGGTCACAGTGGCTGCCGGGCTGGGAGCGTTTGTGCCCCAGCTGGGAGCAGAGCTGGTGCTCTAGTGAGCGTGGTGCACACTGAGACCGAGCTCTGTGCTGTCATGGAGAGATCTTCCTGTGAGAGCCCACTGGAAGCAGCGCTGCGGCGTGTGTGAGAGCTGGGCACAGCTCCGGCTGAGCAGTGGCCAGGTGAGCTGGGGTTGGTGCTGGGTGTCTCAGCAGGAAAGCTGGGCTGGGGTGGGCAGCTGCGTCAGCCCTTGTCCAGGCTGGCGGTGAGACAAAAGGAGTTTTCTTCACGACAGCAACACCAGCCGTGTGCTTCAAGGTGCAAAACTATGGAGGAGATGGAGAAGAACGCTTGCTGTCAGAACTCATGGCAGCTGCACGGGAGCTGGGTGTATTTGGGAGACAGTTCTCATTAGTAGTTGGTTTGGAGTATTGCCCTGCCCGATAGCTTAAACTGCATAGCAGAGGAAAGCTGGGAAAATGCTTTTTCCTGTTTTTCACTTGCAGGTTCTTTCTTCAGGGTTGGTTTACAAAAGGAGGTTTTGGGGACTGAGGCAGTTGAAGAGTGAAGCCAGCTCTTTCCACCAGCGGGGGGTCAGTCCCTGTGGAGAGGACCCCAGGAACGTGAGCTTCCTCTGAGACGTTCCCCACATGTCCCAGCAGGGACACAGACGCGGTTCCCATTCCTGCTTTGCGCGTGGAAAGGTATGGCTGGGTTTCCCTAACTTGGGTTTTCTTCCTTTCTCTGGTTTTGGAGGGGAAGGGGTGGAGCAGGGGGAGCCCTGCTGGTCCTTAGGGAGCTCAGTAACCAGTGGGCTTGTGCGGTGCAGCACAAGGACAGCATGGCCAGGCTCCTTCACCTGGTGGGGCAGGGTGGGAGCCGAGAGCGGGCGCTGCCCTCCTGCCATCTGTACCTGGTTATGGTTTGCCACGTTTGCTCTGGTTTCTGCTGAGAAGTTTGTTCTAGCTGCCTGCAGCAGGACAGGGTGGGGAAGGAAGGATGGTGCAGAGCTAAGGCTGCGCACGGTAATTTTGCACGGGTTGAACTGTGGCACCTGAAGACCCTGTTTCCCTTGGAAGAATGCTGGTGTTTGCAGGTGTGTTGGTGCAAGCCCTGCAGTGCTGTCTGAGAGCGCCTGTCTGCTGCACCTGAGCGATAAGAAAGCTGGATATGCCCAGCAATTGCAGCTTGTGCAGATGTTGTGAATGCGCTCCCAATGTTTCCTTTAGTGAGAACTCAGCGCTCTCTGGCACGATCTGGAACACTGCATCTCTTTGCAAACGTTGGTGCCTGTATCCATGGCCCTCCTTTTTTCTCTCCTCAGAAGCAGCGCCGTGCTGTTCCCCATGCTAGGGAGCAGCAGCCAGCAGGCTGCCCCAGTGCCAGCTGGGCCTTGCAGCGCGCAGAGGGACGCGATGGGGACGGAGCATCCTTAGCACCATGCACAAGTGAGTCTCTTCAGTCCTCTGTCATGAAGGATGGAGGAATGAGTGTTACTTGTGAGTTGGTGCAGTGCTGTAGGGATGTGCAGTAGCCATTGTGGAAGCATTGGGGAGGCTGACAGTGACAGCTGATGGCAGCAGTAAGACAGAAGTCTGTGTGTAAGTGGTGGCGCTCAGAGCTGAATGAATTCCCTGTAGAGACCAAAAAATCCATGTCTCAACTTGTGCAGCGTTTTGTAGCGTTTTGTTTGCTGAAGCAGCTTTGCTCTGCAGAATGCAGAGCTGTCAGGCAGCCCTGGGTTCCTCTGCTGCCACCTGAGCAGGAGTGAGAGCAGTAATGCTTTGTGTAAGCGCACTGCAGTTTAACCATCAGCTTCTGTTCTGGCTGTAGAACAGTGTCTTTTGGTTTTGGGGGTGGATGTGGGCTAACAGGACAGCGCTGCTCCTGGGAAACCAACACTCCATCTGTTGTTGTAGGGACGGAGCCTGCGCGTCCATGGAATGGTGCTGGGCATGGGGGGAAACGGAAAGCCTCCCCAGGTAAGAAGCTCTTGTGAGCTGTGGTGTGGGTACTGCCTGTAAACAGGGCTGCGTGAAGGGGCGTGTGATGGAGGAGAGGGGAAAGGGCCCTGCAGATGTCTGCTGACTGCAGAAATGGCGGACCATTGGAGCAGCAGAAGGGCAGATTGAAGAAACGACGCTTGAGGAGCAGAAGTTTGTGGTTGGCTGTGCTAAAATGTTCCTGCACAGAGATGCTCTTCATGTCTGTCTCGTTTCCTTTCTGTCAGGAGCTGATGACAACAGGCTTGCAGGGAGGCAGGGGAGGAGCAAGGAGAGTGGCCCAGCACCCAAGAGAGGTAGGACACGCAGCAGGCATCTGGGTTTGGTGCCCTGTCTTTCTAGTTAGGCTTTCTGTCTGCCCTTTCCTGGGACTGTTGTCATTGCATGTTGCTTGAGGTCTTAATCCCTGGGGATTCCAATTACCTTTCCTGTCCCAATTGACAGTGCAAGCCCACAGTTCACCCAAGATCCTAAGGTGCATTGCTGTGAACACTGGAGATGAGATTTCCTAGTATCGTGGCCTGTTTTGCAGACTGCAGGTAGTGCTGGACTCATTACATGTTGCTGCTTCCCCTTTCTTGTTTCTAACAGGGAGAGGTGCTGAGCCAAATGGCGAAAGCTCCGTGCAAACTCCTCTCCAGGCTGGAGGGCTTCCTGAAGCAGCAGGTCCCAGCAGAGGGGGAACAGCTGCTCCTGCAGTTGCCAACTGCTCCTCCTCCAAGATCGTGGTCGCAAGAAAGCGCAAGGGAGTGGAAGAGGAGGAGCAGGAGGCAGAGCTGGGACCTGCCAACAAACAAGTGAAAGTGGAGCACAATGGGGAGAAGGCTCAGAGCCCTCATCAGAGCAGAGGTGCTGTGCCAGCTCCATCAGCACAGCCTGGGCCTGCCCCAGTGCCGACCGAGAGGTTCCGGACCTCAAAGCGAAGAGGTAAGAAGATGCTGCAGCTGCCCTGCTGAGGTGCTTCCCTTGTCAAGCACGTGGAGTTTGCTTGGGGTTTGCTTTGCTTTTTCTTCCCTTCTGCAGGGAGGGGAAAAGAGGAGAAGGCTACCAAGTCCAAAGGATGTGCCAGAATGTGTCATCCTATCTTTTCCCATGAAGCCCACGATGGCCCTCTGCTCGTCCCACTGCAAATACCCGTTCCTGAGAGATTTCCCAGGCTGTTGTCGTGGTACCCGTGTTTCCGTGGTTTTGCTATTGACAAACTGAATTTCTCTTCTCTTGCTCTCTAGAAAGACGACGACGACAGAAAGAAAGGAGAGCAGAAATGAAGAAGGCTGCTCTCAGAGCTGCTGCTGCACATGCAGAGGTGAGTCCTTGGCGAGCACAGACACGGCTCTTGTTCTCTGTCTGTCAGACATGAAGGGGGTTGTGGAATACTGGGGGAAGCGGTGTGCTGCTTTGACACTTGCCTTGTTTCTTTCCAGTTCTCCACCATGAACAGCCTTGTGGAGATGATGGAGAAGCTGCAGCTGAAGGACTGAGCGGAGGAGCATCAGCAGGCAGCGGCTTTGTGGCAGCAGCCCAACTTGGCGCTCTGGGTTCAATCCATCAATAAACAATTGGAGTTTTGCATTCACAAGGAGCGCATGGCCTGATTTGTCCAGCAGCACCCAGTGAGCTGCTGCTCCACCTCCTGGTTATTGCTCCACCTCCTGGTTATTGCTCCACCTCCTGGTTATTGCTCCACCTCCTCGTTATCCCACCACCTCCTGGTTATTCCACCACCTCCTGGTTATCCCACCACCTCCTGGTTATCCCACCACCTCCTTGTTATCCCACCACCTCCTGGTTATTCCACCACCTCCTCGTTATCCCACCACCTCCTCGTTATCCCACCACCTCCTCGTTGTTCCACCACCTCCTCGTTATCCCACCACCTCCTGGTTATCCCACCACCTCCTCGTTATCCCACCACCTCCTCGTTATCCCACCACCTCCTCGTTATCCCACCACCTCCTCGTTGTTCCTCTCGCGGCGCTGGGTCAGAACTGCCACAGCTCCATCAGGGAATGCTGCAGGGTACAGAAGCAATGGACGCACCAATCCTGGGCCCTGCCCACAGACGCACTGTCTGAGCAGTTAGAGAGCAGCTCCATAGAGCCGTCTGACTTTCTCGGGGCAGCACTGAGCAAAGTGAGCGTGTGCCCCTCAGCCTGCAGGCGTCTCTGCTGGGGGAAGAGAGGCTCCGCTGGCCGCCTGATCCCGGAAGGCAGAGCTGTTCTCCTGACTTCTCTGCAGTGCTGCCTTCCTTCATCGTCCCCCCTTTCTTCAGATATTTTGATGCTACTTTTCACCCTTTGGGGCGGAGCTTGAGTGACTCTCATCATTGCAGAGCTTTGTACTGAGCGGAGTGGAGTTTTCTGGCTTTGTTTCTACAAGCCTAGGCTGAAAACCGCAGCGTGCGTGCGAGATGGGAGTCCTAGCACTCTGGAAGTGGATAAGTGTTGGGATGGAGCTGCTTTTGGTTTTCTAATGAGTGCATAAGGAGCAAAGTTTGCCAACAGGATGGTGTTTGCTCAACTAATGACTAGGAGCGATATGCAGAGGAAGATGGCAGTTGGCAGATGGTGCATGGCCAGAGCTGTTGTTTCTGTCCTGCAGCCGGGAATGCTCCACGCCGAGGGGTGCGGGCTGTGAGAGGAACCTGTCTGTGGAAGCGTGGCCGTTCCTCCCGTCTGATGGGGCAGAAGGCAGGGACAGGAGAGGAAAGCTGAACAGATGTGCATTTTCGTCACGGCTCTTCCTGTGTGGGAAATGAGCTGTGCCACTGTGCTTCTTGGTGCTGGCTAGTTCTGGAGCTGTGCCTTCGACTTGATGCTCAGCTGTTCCTGTGTGCAATGCTCCACACTCGGACCCTGCAGAGCCCAGAGGCCTCCTTGGCTGCTGTCACTCACCTGGAGCTTGCAGGGTGCTGTGCGTGCTGGATGTAGCTGCTTCCAGCTGTCATTTGCAAGGCCCTGTAAGTGCGCTGGGTTCCAACAGCAGTCAGATGACACAGATGAGAAAGAAGCAGGAAAACGTTTATGTATTTATTTTTACATCACAGGCTTGGATCTGCAACCAAGCCTGTTGTGCTGTGGAGAGCAGTGGAAGCCGTTCAGTTGCATGACCAAGGGGTGCAGCCTGGTTCCCCCCTCCCTAAGGGGGAGGCTCATGGAAGGGCTGGCTGCCTGCAGGGAAGGAGCTCTGCTGTTTTGTGCGCCCTGTTGCTCAGAATGGGGTCAGCAGTTCTGTGGAGATTTCCTGGGTTGAGTCCTTTGTGTTTCTCGGGTAACTTAAAGCTGTGTCTGCTCTTGCCTCTGTTTGCAGCTGCCGCGCCTCTGGCCTTGGCCCCCACAGAAGCCCCTCCTGGTTGTCAGTGGCAGCTGTTAGCTGTGCAGTGCCAGCAGTCTGTGGAAACGGCAGCACTTGGGAGGATGACACAGTTTGCCTGATTTTATGCTTTCTGGATGCGGTCAGGTGAGAAAGCGCTGTGCTTGGTGGCACAAATTCCTTGGCCAAAGGACGCTTTGGAGCAGAGGTTTGCTGTCAGGAGGCCTGAAAGCATGGAAGGAAATGCTGCTGTGCACTGGGCCCAGAGACATCAGCTCCCAGCACGTCAGGGACTGCGGACGCCTGCAGCCTCTGTGTCTGTCGGGGATTGCTCCAAGGGCTCTGCAGGCAGCTGTCCGTGGCTGTTTTGCTTTGTGAGGGCATGGGCACAGCTGACAACACACTGATGGTGTCCTGCTGGGAAATGGATGCGCTGGATGGCAGAGGAGGATTCTGAGCCCAGTATGGGATCATCTTTGTTCCTTCGTGAAGGTGAGTGTTTAAAAGTGAGACACTTGAAGCTGGATTTGCAGGGTGCCTGGAAGGAGGTGACTCTCGCTTGATAGCAGTTGGGTGTTTCAGAGCAGCTGAGATTAAGGGGACGTCACAAATCATGTTCTGAGAATGTTCCTGACCGTTCTGAGTTGTTCAATTGTCTACAAGAATGCAAGCAATGCAAAAAAGCAAAAGCAGAACAAGCACGGCATGTCCTGCAAAGAATCCAGCTTTCACAGAGACTGACAGTTCCTAACGTTCCTTTTTCTTCTTCTGTCAGTGACTGAATTTGCTCTCACCTCTTCTCTCTGCACGTGACTTCCCACTTCTTCTATCTTTAGTTCTTCTTGGGTTGAACTTCTCTCTTGTCTGTTTCTCCTCCTTTCTACCTTTGCAATCCCTTCCCTCCCTTCTCTTTTCTGTCTTTTCTAACTTCTCCTCTCTGCTGCCTTCCTCCCTATTCTTTTTTCCTGTCCTTTTCTTTCTTTTCTCTGCACCGTTATTTCTCCTCTTCCTCCTTCTGCACTTCCTGCTCCTCTGTTCCCTCCTCTCAGTTCTCCCCTGCCTGTTCCTGCTCTTTTCCTCTTCTCCTCCTCACTCCTCTGCCCTGTTTCTGCATTATTTCATCCTCCTGCAGCAGCGGCTCATCTGCTCTGCACTTCTCTCTCTGTGCTGTCCTCTGCTCTTTGAGTAATTCTTCCCTCTGTCCTTGCTCCTCTTCAGCTGGCTATTAATTCTCCACATCATGGCTCCTATTGTGCTATTTTTTCTTCTCCATATTCTCACTCTTCCTTCACCTGCACTCCTCTTCTGCCGTTCGTTTTTTCTCTCTGTCCTCTCTCCTCTTTCTTCTGCATTCTTCCTCTGCTTCTCCACTTCTTCATTCCCTGCCTCCTCGCTCCTCTTTCCTCTGCATCAACACTGCTCTTCTGTTGTGCTTTTGTCCTTTTTCCGTACTTCTCGTTCTTCTGTAGCTGCACTCCCCTTCAGCTGTTCTTTTCTCATTCTGTCCTCACTCCATTCTTCTGCATCTCCCCACGTCTTCTGATCTTCTTTACAGTCTCCTCACTTGTTTTGCATCTGCATCTGCACTCTTCTCCCATTCATTTTTCTGTGCTTCCTCCCTGTTCTTTCTTCTGCATCTGAACTCCTCTTCTGCTATTCTTTCTTCCTGCTAATCTTTCTTCCCTGTATAATCATTCCTTTTTCTTCTGCATCTGTCTCTGCACTCTGCTCCTGTTTTCTTCTCTTTTCTCTCTTTCTCCATTTGCACTCTTCTGCTGCTTTTTTTCCCCTGCCTTTTCTCTCTGTCACTTGCATCTGCACTACTCTTCTGCTGTCCTTTCTTCCCTCTATCCTCACTTGTGCATCTGCACTCTCCTAAGGCTGATCCTTCTGCCTTGTATTCTCCCTGCTCTTTCCTCTGCATTCTCACTCTCCTGTTTGTTTTTTGTTTCCCTTGCATCCTCCCTCCTCTTCTGCTGTTCTTTCTTCCTTGTTTCCTCGCTCCTCTTCTGCATATGCACTCCACATGTGCTGTTCATTCTTCTCTGTATCCTCACTGCTTTGTATTCTGCATCTGCTCTCCTCTTCTGCTGTTCTTTCCTTCCCTGTATCCTCACGCATCTTCCTTCTCTGTTTGCTCTCCCCTTTGCTGGAGGCTGTTCTTTCCTCCTTTAATCCTCACTCTTTCATTTGCTGCTCTACTCCTCCTGTTCTGTCTTCTATTTATCCTCACTCATTTGATTCTTCTGCATTCACGCTCCCTTTCTGCAGTTCTTCCTTCCCCGAATCCTCAGTCCTCTTTCTTTTGCTGCTTCTTTTCCACTTTCTCTCTGCTCTTTACTCTGCATCTGCAGTCATCATTTTCTCCTACTTCTTCCCTGTCTTCTCTCCTGTCTTCTCCATCTGCACTCTTTTTCTGCTTTCCTTTCTTCCCCCCTTCCTCTTTCTTCTGCATCTGAGCCCCATTTCTGCTCTTCCTTCCTTCTCTCTCTCCACTCTCCTCTTTCTTCTGCGTCTGTTCTCTTCTGCTGTCCTTTCTCCCCTGTAACCTCACTTCTCCTTTTTCTGCAGCACACTCATCATCTTTCATCCCTGTCTTCTCCCTTCTCATCCACCTGCAGCTGCAGTCCTCTTCTGCTCTCCTTTCCTCCTTGTATCCTCACTTGCCTTTTGTTCTGCACCTGCACTCCCCTTCTGCTTGGCTTTCTTTATCCTATCCTCTCTCCCGTTTTGTCTGCATCTGCCCACCACTGCTGATCTTTCTTACTGCTTCTCCTCCCTGCTCTTTCACCTGCATCTTCACTCCTCTTCTGCTGTTTATTGTTGTGCCCTCGCTCCTCTTTCTTCTCCACCCGCATTTCTCTCCTGCTGTTTTTCCCCTGCCTCCTCACTCCTTTGTTGTCTACATCAGCTTTACACTCCTGCTTTTCTTTCTCCCCTGTATCCTCGCTGCTCTTTTATCTGCATCCCTCCTCTCCTGCTGTTTTTCCCCAGTATCCTCGCTCCTCTTTCTGCTTCTGCTGTTCTGTTCCTTGCTTCCTCGCTCTTTGCATGTGCACTCCCCATCTGCTGTTCGTTCTTCTGTATCCACAATATTCTTCCTTGTACACTTGCACTCCTACTGTTGTTCTTCCCCATCCCCTTACTGCTCACTGCTGTGTCAGCTTTACTGTTCTGCTCTTTCTTTCCTCTCTCTTCTTTTCTTTTGCATATGTACTCCAGTTCTTCTATTCTTTCTTCCCCATATCCTCTCTGCTCTTTCACTTGTATCTGAACACCTATCCAGCTATTCTTTCTTCTCTGTTTAGTCGTTCCTTTTTCTGCTGCATCTCTTCTGCTGTTCAGTCTTCTGTCTATCCTCATTGCTCTTTTGTTTGTATCCACGCTCTTCTTCTGCTCTTTCTTCCTTGTGTCCTTTCTTCCTTTTCCCCTGCATTTTCTCTCCTCTTCTGCTGTTCTTTCTTCCCTGTATCCTCACTCCTCTTCCTTCTGCATAATTAAACTCCT